GCCTGCTGTGCTCCCTCCCTGCACTCCTGCTGCTCTCACTTACTGTTAAAGAGCGTGACTTTGTGGGGATACTGCTGTTAAAGGCAGCTCTGGCTATTGGTATCAGACCTGCCAGAGACTCAGTTTACTAATCTGTGAAGTGGGAATAAGAATAGTTTCTCTTTTTTTTGTGAGGGTTACATAAAATACTGTATGGTGGTTGAAAGTAACTGTCAGAATGCCCAAATGTAGCATGTCTTTGGCCCTTTTCCCTTTGTTCCTCCTTTTCTCATGGTTTTGTTTTGAAAACAGTCTTTCTTCTTTTCCTTCCCCCCTCCATCTACCCAGAACATTACCACTGAATTAATTGTCTTACAGCATTAGCTCATTCATTTTGGCAGTACCAGCACCCATGAACAGGGTATTAATTTGCATGAGGTTCTCTGATAGGGCTGCAGACTTGGTCTCACAGTGGAGACTGGTGTCATCACTGGCTGACACATTTTTTCCATTTCTCCACTGCCCTCACTGCCACACTCAGGTCAATTTTCTTAGTATGGCTTTCATGGTTCTCCTTGAAGTGTCCCAGACCACACCAAATTGAACTCACCAGCCTCTAAGCTCACAGCTGCTCTGGCTTCCAGGACACTCACTGCCCATTCTTTCCTCTGCAGGTGCCCTCCTCCCCTTCTCATCTGCTGACTGCCTGTCTGTCCCTGGATCTCCCCCCTCTTCAGCTGCCTCATGTGTGAGGCCTTGCCCCATCCCCAGGAGGGGTGTGTGGAGTTTCTGCCTCACTTCCTTCAGGTGCTTCTTAGGGAACTTACTATGTTCTACATCGGCTCATTGGCTCTTTAGGTATACCTTGCTTCTGTCTACTAGACTCTGTCCAACCCAGGAAAAAGCACTTCTCTTCCCAACCTCAGCAGGTCACGTGAGGACATCACTGCTGCAGTCACTCTGGGACATGTTTGCTGATGGATAAAAGAAAAAGTTTACTCATTTTTCTAAGCTTGGGAACCAGGATCCTCCTACACATGAAAGCAGCTGTTGTAAAATGAACAATTACTTATCAGCAGAAACACCAACACATTTCGTATGGGCTGCACAACAGTCATGGCCATGCCATCTGCTCTTAATGAGAGTCCAGTGCAGACACTTCCTCCTGCTCCTGTGAGTGTGCTTGTTAGATTCCACAGGACTCTTTACTGAGAACAGCCACTGGTTCTCTTATCACCAGGTGAGATCTAAACAGCCAAAGGGATACTCTATTTCTGATCAGAAGTTTCTGGGAGATAGCTTTTTGTACAGAAGCCTTTATAACTCTCGGTGTCTTCCAAAGAACAGAAAAGTGAATGGCAATAGCTTTGCATTTCTGGGCTTGTCCAGGGGGCCTGTCAAGATGGCAACCTCCATTGCATTTATTTCCTGGATCTTGGTTCAGGGATGTGAGTCTGTAAGAATCTGGTGGTTAAGCCTCTTCAGGAAAAATCTTGGTTGAAAGTCTGACATAACAAAATGGGTTTTGCCTATAATTTGTGAACAGCTCTGGAAGCCCCTCTAGGACATTGAAGAGAGCACTTTATGCATCAGAGCCTTCTTCCTGAGCTCCTCCTGCTGCAAGGGAGCACGCTTCACTGGATCTACTCCAATAAAGGTTTTTGCTGGGTCTCTTTTCTTTCTGTCACTCTTCCACAGGGGGCAAAGGTTCTCTTGTTTCCCTAAAGGTCAGAGCATCAGGGACAGTGACTGATTGCTCTCCTATCATCAGCTATGTACTGATTCTGGGGGTGTGGGACATGGTTAGCAACTGGTTCAATCATGGCTCTGATGACCAAAATGACCTATGTGCTCGAGACCCAGTGTTAGACTTTTGAGTCTCCTGTTAGTCCATTGGCCTGATTTTATGTTTGGAAGGTAATCCCTAAGGTCACTCATAATTCACAAGTCCACTCCTGTGTGGAGAGAAGGCCCCCTGAAGCCATGTGAGGGCCACTGAGGGAGTGGAGTTGGAATGTGTCCCTTGGTCATGCTGGTGGAGGAATAGGATATCCAGAAGGCCTTTGTTGATGCCTCTCCCTGATGTCACCAGGAGAGGCATCAAGCTAGAAGGGGCTGGGTGACACACCAGTGCCACCTCATCCCACTCCCTTCCCTCCCCCACTCCTTGGGGTTGACTTGCTTCCTAACTGCTGTGCCTCTGCCTTTCCTTTCTTTCAGACCCCAGGACCCTCCTATTTCTCCTTTAATACCCTGCACAAGTCACTTCCCCCTTTCTGACCAGTTCCTGCAACCCTGATAGATTTCATCTTTCCCTCTGTAGGTTCTAAAGTGTTTCCATCTACCTCTGCATTACATTTATTACTCAGCAGTAAGATTACTTATGAACATTCTTGGCTTCTTAATGGGACTGCCCCTTTATGCTTCTTGGTACCTGCCCCAGAGCCTGGCAATGGGCATGCCAGCTGGAGGGCCTTCACTATGGACTGAATGAGTGAATGGAGGAGTCCAGACTTTTGAGCCTAAAGTATAGCTTCTATAAGATCACAAACCATCTGTTTAGAACTTGGTTACCAGATTATTTAGCTATCCATGGTTTTATGCAGATGTCTTTATATTCTCCTTTAGTATTTAGAAAATTCTTTTTAAAATGATCAGTGTTTTAATCATGTTGCAATAGGACCCCCTAAAAAGAGAGGGCCCTCCTTGCTCCACTCCAGTACAGGGCAAGGGCATCCTTTCTGGAGCCAGCATGCAGTGGGGGAACCCCAGCATGACAGAGCTATGGCCTGCACTTCCTTCATTTCATACATGAGTTTATGAGATTTTTTTTCCTAGTGAAAGTTGTCCCCTTACCATTGGTGTTTCAGGTGGTAAGCAGGCCATTCCATGCATCTGTGTCCTCATGAGCATGTTTTATTCCACAGAATTCTCCACTTGTGATGGGGAGAGAGAACTCCCAGCAAGTCCATTTATCATAGGACTGGAGTAAGTGAAAGGTAATCCTTTTTAAAATGTGAGTTATGGAGCTTTGTAATGTGCCATTTATCTATGTCTGTGTGGAAAGGAAGAATGCCAGGGCAAGTTTATTACTTAAACAGACTGTGCTCTCTCTTGTGTTTAGGGCCCCATTCCCTACACAGCACACGGTGATGCTCAAACATGACAAATTGTGATGAAAACATTGATTAAGCATCCAGAGTTGCTTGTTACCAAATGTGGAGTAGGTATTTGAACACATACTTGGCAAGCAAGCTGTTTAATTATTAGGCTTCTGTGTCTATTTAAACCCATCTTGCTTTAATGTTTAATATCTAGTATATGTGAGGCATATTTTCTTGGAAGAAAGCTGAACAGCTTTGAAAATTGGACATTTTCTAGACCTCTTATCCAGGCAGGTAAGTTTTAGAAGGATAAATGGGATCAACCATAAATTTGAAAGGCCTCAATAAAAAAATGAAAGGAAGGATTCTTACATTTCTTTTCTCTCCCCTAAAAATGGTATTGACTTGTATCTACAAATCCTGATGGAATGAAAAAAAAATGGCACTATTTGCAGTCACACAAAATGGGTAACATGCACAATATTTAGCTTCTAGTTTGAAGAAGTCAATATAAACCAGAGAGAGAAAACTCATTGTCTCCAGAACTTCCTCTTTTTATAAAACTTGCAGCAGATATTGCATGGACAAATGGGATAAATGACAAGGCTGTCTTTATGTATTTGAGGTTATATCCCCTGATAGCATTCACATTTCTAGGGCTAAAGACAACAAAGGTTTATTCAGCATCTCTCCTCTAGCTCCCCACATTTCACTTGTATTCTAGGGTCTTTCTTTGATGTTTAGCAACTGGGTGAATGTTACATGTCCACTTGGAAGACACTGGTGTTCACAGAGTTCTTAGCATAGTCCCAGGTACACAGGCATCCAAACCTTTGGAACCATGTATACTATACATGGTTCAGTATAAAGGGAAACATGGAAAGGGCCTTCAGGAGGCTGTGGTTTAAACTCAGATTGGCGATGAGCACTTGGTCCCGTCTACTTCCTGAGACATAAATGAGTCAAGGCTTGGGGGAGGCTCAGGGGTGCAGACCCATGAGAGGGGTTTTCAGTCCTTCCTTTGTAATTGCTGTCCTCTTCAGTCCACCACACCACACGACCTAAGGGGTATAGCCGCTGCCACCACTATCCTAGTGGGAGAGGGGTGGGTTGGACAGTCCGGTGGTTTCTGCAGTCACTTCTCTGTATTCTGATTTAATTATTTTTATCAGACATGTTGAATTACGCCCTTCTTCTTCCATTATGGTGAATGCTTAAAATTACATTTATATGAAATTATGTTTACACAAACTTCTATTAAAAGCCAAATTTCAGGCTTAAGCTGTTGGCCAAATCCATTAAAAATGGATATTAATTAGTTGAGCTGATTAAAAACACCTTCATCAAAGTAGAACGCTGGTGCCAACAGTATTAAGAGTTGAATTACTGACTTTGAATGAGATGATACAATGACAGGGAGGAAAAGCGATTTTCTTTTTACTCAACCACCTCCATTACTTTGGGGGTCCAAAAGGGTACTACTGACCTATTGCTGGAGATCCAGGAAAGAGAGGTGACGGAATGAGGGGAGAGGATGGGCATTGTAAGGGAGACGTAGGAAAGGGAGGAGTGGAGACTAGTGTCGAGAAAGCGGAGGTCAGACGCCTGGAAGGAGTGGGCCCCAGCGGCCACCTCTCTGCTCACCGAGGGCCAGGCAAGCGGGGCGAGAGCGCACACGGGCGCTCCCACTACCGGCCGCCAGGGGGCGCGGGCGGAGCCGGCAGAGGGAGGAGGGTGCCGCGGAAAAGGGGTAGCCAGCCTGCAGGGGCGGTGGCGGCGGCGGCGGCGGCGGCGGCGCAGCTCCGCTACCCGCGTGTTGTCGTCCCCGCACCCACGCAGGGAGCGCAGCCTCGCCGCTCGGATGCGGCCGCCCGCCCGCCGCCGCCGCGCGCTCCCGGCGCTGCTTTCGCTCCTCACCTGCTCGTTGGGTAAGTAGCGGCGGCCGAGCGCGCACGGGCGGGGCGCGGGCTTTCCAAGCGGGAAGGGCGGCACGGGTCGAGCAACCCCGCTTCAGGGCGACCGCAGCCCGCCGTCCGGCGCCTTGCAGCAGCGCCCCCTCGCGGCGCCCGGACCCGTCTCCGCGGCCCCGGGACCTTCTGCACCGGGCCCCGTCGGCTTCCCGGTCCCCTCCTCGGCCGGTCCGCTTCGCGTCTTCCGCCTCCTTCCGCTCGAAACTGGCCGTTGGCCGAGCAGTGAGCGCGAGACGTCACTCCCACAGAAGCGCGAGTAGCTGTGTGACGCCAAGAAACTTTGGAAGGAGGGACGCTGGCTCGCCCCCCCGCCCCCCCCCCCCCGCCCGCGGTCCGCGCGCCCCGCACCTCTCAGCTTCTCGCAGAACCTCCCCGCACTTCCTCGCGCCTCCTCACGCGTCCTGCACCTCTCTGCCCTTCCTGGCCGCACCGCCCCCGGAGCTGAAAGGGGCCCGTGTGTCCGCTGACTCCTCTGGGGCTCCGCGTGTGGACTGACGGACAAGCCCTGGTCCCTGAGGTTACGATGCCAACTTGGCACCAGTGCTTCTCACCCCCTGATTCCTTGGCAAGGGAGGACCGGTACCCCGGCCTCAACGTGGGCGGCCCGTGGCTCCAGGAAGGCCCTGCGAAGCGCCCCCGCCCTGCCCCAAATCGTGGGTCTTTATGGGGGAAAAGTAGAGAACACTCCTGGAAACAATGCCTGCCCAGTCTGCTACTGCTGTAAAGCCCTCTCCTTTTTTTCGTCCATGTTCTCCCTTTTATCATAAAATGATGCTGATGAAAGTTTTCTTTTAAAAAATCATTGTAATTAACTTTCATGATGAGATTTGTGCAAGTTTGAAAGGTTGGGGGGAATGATTCCCTTTTCAGTGTCCTCAGGGTTATTGTCGTCTAACCCAGACTTTTGTGTGTCCAGCCTAAGAGGCAGTAATTTCAGATTTTTAGAAATGGCAGAATGGTGCATTTTAGGAAAGATGTCGTGTTGTTTTTTGCACACACGTCACTGTTTGGTAGCCCACCGGCACCTTTGCTGCCCTGTTTTTGGATTTAAGCTCTCCGCCCAAGGACCTTATTTTCACATTCCTGGCATTTTTGTAGGTGTTCAGTGTGGGAAAATTGAGGATTAATTAGTAATTAATTGCCTAAACGCATGATTAAGTAAGCAACGATGTAATTAAAAAAGCACGGACACCTTGGGCAGAGAAGGCTGTTAGGAACTGTGGTGAGCCGCTGCGTTTGGTGAAGATCTGCTTTAGCAGAACGAAGTGCACTGCTGGGGCAGTTCTGGGAGAATGGAGGCTGGAGGGGAGTGGAGAGGTGACTGCTAGCTGCATTACTTGGCCAGCTGCCTGGACGTTTTGCACCTAACCAAAGTGGGAGGGTGGTAGCTGAAATTGGGATTCTATTTATAGCCCGACACTTTATAAGGCTGTCCTGGGAATGTAAGGTTTGTGTATAATATAGTCAATATATGAGCTGAAAGGCATATTTGTATTGCTATGTGTACCTATTTTTTTATTGCCCTTGGAGGAATATCTGCACCGTCCAAAGTTGATACTATGTTAAAGGACACATAGAATGAACTAAAGTGTCAACACATTTTTGGAAATCTATTAGCATTTCAAACTTGTCAGAAAAGCACAGTAAATAAGACATAGAATGTATGAAAAGTTCTCTGAGAACTGGCTTTGTGAATATTTTTCATAGGTTGGTACAGACAAGCTATATTCTTGGAGGTCTGAAATAAATCATGAATTCATTTGATTGAGCTCTGTCTGCTTTGATGTTGGATGGGGGCAGCACTCTATAAATCTTGTAATATGGCTGAAACAGAGAATATGATGGGAGTTCTGAGGTATTTGTACACTCCTGATAGTTTAAAAATACTTTAAACATTTCCTTATAAGTTTGGCCTGACTGTATATAGTTTATTTTCTCCACAAATTGTAGCATATTCATTAGAGAAAAGTCCATATAGAATATTTATTTTAAACCTTTATGATTATATAGACAAAATTTATAGCAATTTCAGTTCTCAAGTCTGGTGCCAGTTCTGGAATCAGATTTAGTCACGCTTTTGGGTCAGCCACTGTGTGGTTTCCTGTGGTTTTTCTATAAAATGAGAGCCATAGACTAGATAAAATACTGGAACTTTGCCATCTCTTCAGTTTTAACATAGTGTTATAGCAGAGGCTGCTATCTGTCTACCCAATAACCCTTAGTTCCTTCTTTTCCTGACGCAAAAATCTCTGTGATAATCAGGAACGTTATGGACTGAACTGAGTCCCTCAAAATCCCAGTGAGTATATTTGGAGATAGGGCCTTAAGGTTAACTGAGGATGTAGAGTGGGGTCCTAATCAGTAGGACTGATGTCCTTATAAGAGGAATAGATACCAGGGATGCATGCAAATGTAGAAAAGGCCACGGGAGGACAGAGCTACAAGATGGTCATTAACTAGCCAAGGAGAAAGCTCTCAGCAGAGACCAGCCCTGTTGACACCTTGATCTTGGATTTCCAGCCTCCAGAAATGTGAAAAATAAATTTCTGTTGTTTAAGTCAACCCGTCTATGGTTTCAGTTATGACAGCCCTAGCAGACTAATAGTACAGGGGGTGATGGGAAGGGTGGTGGTAGTGCCAGTGTGTCCAGTGATGAAACCTTTCTCAGTGGCCCTTGGAAACAGGGGTAGACAGGGAGCTCTCTGTAGAGATTTTGGAGTAGTTCATGGTAAAGCTTGTTAAAGATGGCTGACCCAGCTGAATACAGACTTTTTTTTTCCCCTCGGCCTTTGTTTCATTCTTCTCATTGCCTATTATGTGAATTTGATGGCTGGAGCCAGGGTGGCCATCTTGTGACCGTGAGGTGACTTTGTTGCAAGGCAGTAATAAGGATGGTAGAGCAGAAAGGATCGCAGCTACCTGGGTGCTAGATGGATATGGAGCCCCATGCTAGCCCTGTGTCCCCTATTACCAGACTTGTGTTGCCTGAGATGAAAAATAAACCTCTGTCTTATTTAAGCATCAGTTATTTGCATATTTTACTAATGCAGCCAAACTTAATCCTAATTGATATGCATCTGTAAAGAAGCTTATTTGAACCAACGTTAAAATAATAAATAATTCAGTTTCTATCTTTCTTATTCCTGATTCTATTCTGTATGGGTCAGACTGTATGTGTTAGCACCTGCCAGAATTAGGGATGGTTTTCATTCTGAACCAGGTCTTGCTCAGATTCTTTGTGCTACAGTGAGCCATGTTAAGACACCAAGAGTCAGAACTGACTCCAGGTTTTCTTGTGTGTGTGTGTTTTTTTAATTTTATTTTAAACCCTCCTTTTATTTCTTAGGTATTACACAGAGAGTACTGGCACAGATTTTAACAATCTGGATGGATTCTTTGTTGTCTGGGTAGCTCAGGACCCCCAAGTTAGTATGGCCCCTTGGTCATGAATTTGACCCAAGGGAGTTTGCTTGTAGCCAGTAGTCAAGCTTTTTGGGCCTGGGGCGCAGTGGAATGGGAGGTGGGAAGAGCCTCTGTTTCAAATGGGGGTGGGTTGAGGAGGAGATGTTGGGACCCCTTTGTTAACTTCCTGTTGGGCAAACATGTGGGCCTATTCCTTGAACAAGTCCCAACAACTGACTTCATTCAGAACACGAAGGGCCAGGTTTATACTCACAATTAGAAATATTATTATAAGGCAAGGATAATTTCTAGGCACAAAAGGACTACTAAGGGGGAATTTGCAAACATTATACATTTTACCTCCCTGTAGCATTAACGTATTTTGCTGTATATAATGCACACCCATGTTTCGTGCACATTATATGCGGGATCATTATACCCCTTTATTATACCTGTGGTATGTAATCATTATACTCAAGTATAATGAGCATCCTTATTTTTCCCTTAGAAATTTGGGCAAAAAAGTGTGCATTATACACTGCAAAATATGGTATGTGTGATCCATCTTTGGTGTTGTACAGATTCTTCCTTAGAACAGTGTACAAGAGTGTCAGTTCTATCTCTCCCAATGGGAAGGAAAAGTTAACGGTGAGTGTCAGGGGTTTATGAGACTCATTATTGATCAGAGGCTCCCTTATACCCTGCCTCACAGGTGGCAAATGCAAGGCCCGTGTTCCGAATCCGGCCCTCCACCTTGTTTTATCTGGCCCGGCACCTTATTTCTACCCAGCGGCAGCGCTGAGCTCCTTGCCCCTAGTTAAGGAGCAGTTACATTTATACAGCCCTAAAATTACATTCGGCCCTTCAAAGATAACTGCGTGGCCCCCAGTAAAAATGAATTTGACACCCCTGCGCCTATTTCAAAGCTCTGTTCCTTAAGCCATTCCCAAACAAACCTGATTCTGTGTGGGTGCTGATTTGGACTACTAGAAAAGGCTAACAATGTAAAAATGGTATTAAAATAGTAGGAAAAACTACACTCACAGTTTCTTTAATTTATTCAGAAAGGGTTGAGTATCTACTGTGTGTTAACAGTTGGGTATATTGCAGAAAGAAGGCAGATCTAAGTCCCCTTCCAGCTTCCTTGAGCTTGGAGTCTGGAAGGGAAGGTGGCATTAAATACTAACTCCACTGGAGACTAATCACAGCTGAGCTTAGTGTGTGGCAGGAGTTCATTCAGGGAGATGTGTGACTTTAGGTTGGATTCTGGAGCAAGGTTCTTAGCAGGGGATGATCTCCCTGCCCCCCCCCCAACATTTGTCCTTGTCTGGAGACTTTTGGGTTGACAGGGAGTGCTACCAGCAAGTGGAGCCAGAGGCGTTGCCCAACTTACTGCAAGGCACAGGACACACCCTCCCCCAAAGAATCAGTGATCTGGTCCAAAGTGTCAGGAATGCCATTGAGAAACCCTGGAGGAGGGGCTCATTAAAGGCTTCCTAGAGGAAGGAACAGAAGAGCTCAGATCTGAGGGGAAGCAGAAGTCAGTGGAGGGAGGAAGTGAGCCAGCAGGGCAGGGGGAAGCATGTGCTGGAGGGATGGAGTGAGAAGGGAGAAGGGACTGGGTTGGAGACTGGACTGGGAAGACCAGCAGGGCCCGGTTATGCAGGGCCTCGGAGACCAGGGCGAGGACTTTGGACTTTGTCCGTAGTGCAGAAGGAAACTGTTGAAGGGCTGTCACAGGAGAGGGACGTGATTTGACTTCCCTTGTAAGAAGCCCCACTGGTTGTCCTATAGAACAGGATAGGAGGGGACTGATGTGG